TGTTTTTGTTACAGATTGATGATGTTGGCATGAATACAATGATGTTTTTGGGACAGATTGGTGATGTTTGCATGGAGGCAATTTACATTATATTTTTGTTTATAGAAAACATGTACACCTGATATGTTTTGTTATTGAGATTTTATTTAATTTGGATTTTAATTGTTGGTTTGGATAGTATATGTATTTGTTGGATTATACTATGTTTATGTATTCTTATTTTCTTTGATATGTATGGTTAATAGTTAAGTTTTGTATCCAAACCAAACCAAGCCTTAAGTCCCATCAAATGAGGTCGACTACATGAATCCTTCTTCTCCACGTGACTCTATCAAAGGTCATTTCGTTAGTCAAATTAAGTAGGTCCATATCTCTATTTACAATGCCAGCCAACGCTAGCTAATCCGTATCTTTTCACTACTGCCTCTGTTGGTCTCCATTGAATACGACCAAACCTTCTCAATTGATACTCTCTCAGCTTATCTTATATCGGTGCTACTCCTACCCATTCTCGAATACACTCATTCCTAATTTTGTCTTGTCTTGTCTAGTCTTGCTACACATCCACCTTAGCATCCTCATCTCAGCCACATTCATCTTATCTACATGTTGTTTCTTGGTTGCCTAACACTCCGTTCCATACAACATCGCTGGTCTAATGGTCGTTCTATAGAACTTACCTTTTAGTCTAGTGGGTATTCGTTTATCACACAGTACCCCAAATGCACTTATCCACTTACACCATCTCGCTTTAATGCTATGGGCCACATCCGCATCAATCTCCCCTGCTGTTGTGATAATCAACCCTAAATAACAAAAATGTTCACTCTTAGACAGTTCTTGGTTCTCAATCTTCACTTCTCATTTGTTTTTATTGTTACTATTACTAAATTTACACTCCATGTACTTTGTATTAGTTCTGCTTATCCAGAATCCTTTATATTCAAGTGTTTTTCTCCAAATCTCCAACTTTGTGTTAACTCCTTCTCTAGTCTCATCTACTAGCACGATATCATCTGCAAAAAGCATGCACCATGGCATATCATCCTGAATATTTCTCGTCAACTCATCCATAACTAAAGCAAAAAGATAAGCACTTAAGGTAGATCCTTGGTGTAACGCTATCGTGGTAGAAAATTCATTTGTCTCTCTAGCAAGCGATCTAATAGTGGTCACCACCCCTTCATACATGTCTCTAATCACATCAATGTAACATTTTGTCATCCCTTTCTTCTCTAACACCCACCATATTATATCCTAAGGCACTCTATCATACGCTTTCTCAAGGTCGATAAACACTATATGAATGTTTCTTTTCTTTTCCCTATACTTTTCTATTACTCTCCTCAAAAGATAGATCGCTTCTATTATTGACCTGCAGGCATAAACCCAAATTGATTCTCTGACACCTTTGTTATATCTCGCAATCGGCGTTCCATCAGCCTCTTCCACACTTTCATTATGTGACACATTAGCTTGATTCCTCCATAGTTATTGTAATTCTAGACATCTCCTTTGTTTTTATAGAATAGTTAAGTTTTATATATGGTTGAAAATTGAATACTACAAGTTGTGGAGAAATATTTTTATTGAATGGCTGGGAATTGAATGAATGAGTGGATGAATAATTTTGTATAGGTTACAGGTGGCATAAAAAATATAACAGAATAAATTATAAAAATTAGATGAGACCTTTTGGCGACTAAACAAATATCACAGGTTGGCTTTTGGCTACTAAAATTTTAGTCGCCAATTGTTAAAAAGTGAAATTTTTTACTACAAAATTTTTAGTCGCCTATTGTAAAAAAGGAAACTTTTGGCTACTAAATTTTTAGTCGCCAATTCTCAAGAAGTGAAACTTTTAGCTACTAAATAGTTAGTCGCCAAACATAGATATTCAATTGGCTACTAAATAATTTGGTCGCTAAAAGTAATATATATATATATATATATTTAATTACTTTTAAAAAATATATTGCGACTAAAGTTTTAGTCACCGATAGGTTACTTTTGGCTACTAAAAAAATTTTAGTCGCCGATTGTCTTCCTTGACGAACTATTGGCGACCAAACTGGCGACCAAATATATTAGTCGCCAAAAGTAATTGGCGACTAAAATAAGGCTTTGGGTGACTAAAATTTTGGTCGCCAAAAGTGAAACTTCTTGTAGTGTATCATCTCTCTACTTTTCTGCACATCTGTTTGTAAAAAGTCAAAAAGTATACTTATTTAGATCATGCCAAATAACTCCATACTATGACATAAAAATAAGAAGTAACTTCTCTCCAGTCCAATTAGGGATTAGAGAGGTCCAATCCTACCATTGTGGGACTCATTAGACACAATATTTATACTAAGAATAATGTTGATTAGACATTGGTAGCCATTCGATCGGAACAAACATATCAAAAACCAGGATCTGATTAAATTACCAAAAACAAACACAACGGATATATATATGGAGAGAGAGATTCAAAGAGATAGAGATGAAGAAGGGGGTGGTGCAAAACCCTAGCCCTAGGTAAAGTGCGGCGATGATGGTAAAGCTTGGTGAGGAAGTGCAGCTCACGAGGAGTTAGAGCCACTGTACAAGAGGCGATGACGGCGTTGCACGAGAGACGAAAAGTAGAGGAGGGGGAAGAGAGAGGGGCCGAGAGAGAGAAGGTCACCCTCTGTCGTGTTAGTGTCTTCAATCGCGTTACTGCCACAGAGTCATGGCTGGAGCAAGGGAGCCGTGGTAAGTGGCTTAGTCTCCATTGTGGAGGCAGCAGTTGTGATCGGAGCAGATCGACACCGAAGAGATCGAAAACACTAGCCTTCTCACTGAAATTGTAGTGGTGGTGGTGGTGGATGCGGTGTGAGTAATAGCGGCGACGAAGGAGTTTGTACGGTGGTGGTTATCAGTGAAAAGAGAGATAGATATAGAGAGAAGAGAGACGGAGCGAATGGTGTTCAACCGTATAATATATATATACGTGGGTAGTGTGGTCATTTTGCCTACGCTTGTCCTCATGGACATACTATTTTGGCGCCTGGACTTTTTGTTACCCAAAAAGAAGCCAAAGAGAGGGGGGTGAATTAGGTTTTTACAAATTAAAATTAATAATACCCCACTAAAAATTATAACTAGTATAGAAAAATATTAATAAGATGTTTAGAAGCTTAAGATGAACTAGCAACAAATATAAGGCTGATGAAAGGTAGATAACTTGATTAATCACAAGAAGAAAATATCAGTGAATGAATTTTTGACTAACAGATTGTGATATAGATAGATAAGCAATTTTAACTCCAATACTTAATGGAAGATAAATATCAGATAGCTGTATCAGTGAGGTGAGTGAACACAAAGAATTTGCCAAATTAATTGAAGTAGATATCACAAAATCATATAGATCAGTTGAATATATTAGATGTTTAGCACAATAATAGCAAGTAGTGTATCAGATATAGCTATAGCAATGAAGCAAAATAAAGAGATAAGGGATAAGGAAGCAAACAAATTTGTAGTTGTTCGGATTCAACCAAACCTACATCTACTTCTCAAGCTTTACTTGAGATTTTTCACTATCTTCTAGCTTCACAAGGGTGCTAGCAACCTATTCATAAACGGAGCAATCCTCCACAGATTTTACATAAACTGTACCAAGTGTTCAAACCCTTACCCTTTTTAGCTAATTCTCAATCACACTCAAAGAGTCAAGAAAATTGAGTGTACCACACTCTTACAAGACTAAAAATGAAGATGATTTTGCTTTCAATGAAAGCTACAAGAATAATCCCTCAAAGATAGATACACTATATTGAAGCTTAGATTTTTCTATAAACCTCACACAGGTAAGATAAGCTTAAAGCTAAGGCTCTATGTACATTCTGAAAGAAAATGAAAACTCAGTAGAACCTCTTCAGAGAATTATGAGAGTGATTAAAGATGGAGAATGTTGTATAGCCCATTGAGAGTGTTTGTTTTGCCCGTTGGAGGATGGATGTTCTTATATAAAACACTTCTTTTCTCTTCTCAGCATTTGTTACTGAAATGAACACTCTGCATAGTGGACGTCCACCTCGAATGTCCCAAATGAAATTCTATCTCTGTGGGTTGTCCGCCTGAACGCCTGCCCATATGTCCTATGAGTCCTGAACGTCAAGGTTAACGTCGAGCATACTGCTGGTCTGACAACCGGTAAGAACAAAATTGAAATGCAGCTGAACCGAGCTAATTTTCCTCCTTGGGTCGTCCGCCTGAATGTCCCAAGTCTATCCTAAGCTGCAGGACAAAATAGCCAAAAATTGTCGTGGCCGGTCGTCTGGTGTGGTTTGTTTCGGCCTCCAGTGTTCTGCTGCTCTGGTGCACTGATTTGGTACCTGTTTAAGCATCATGTTGAACTCAACAATGGCATGATTAAGATATAAACATAGATGAAAATATCATGGAATGATTTATATGAATTCAATCTATTTTGATCTTCCAACTAAAATTAAAACAAAGTTAAAATAAAATGGAAACAATTCATCAAAATTCAATATGTCTAACACTTTTAAACAAAAATAATTCAATTTTGGACTTCAACCCGAATACCCATATATTCCTAATAAACAAAATTTTATAAGATTTATTAGTATGTCCTGTTCTTAATAAACATATATGTTCATATATATATAATCTCTAATTTTATAACCAATTTTTTTATTCTTAAAATTATTCATATTTTAATAATTTTACACATCAACATTTGATATGCTAAATATTAATTATTGTACATACCCATTAAAGGAAAATTGTGCTGGTATCAATCCCCCTTTTCTGCACATGAATGCACGTTCTAACATCTATGACAAACGATCGTGCACTCCAATTCTACTTTTGGGAGAGAGAGACACAAAAATGAACAAGTTTTATTGCTTTCCTTTCCATTATAAATAGGAGTGGAAGCTTTAATTTATTTCACACCAAACCAATATTTAACACCGATTAAGAAACAAAGTTTCCATTTTTGTAAAATGAAAGAGCAATTGAGTTTGAAGATGTTGAAGGCAGGTCTAGTGGAACTAGCCCTTGGGCTCATCATCTTCATTAACTTCACAGCCCAGTGCCATGGTGCACTCCCTTTCGGTTTTGACAATCGAAAAGGCGGCCGTGCATCGCAGTTTGGTTTTGATAACCGAAATGGCGGTCTTGACTCGCAATTCGGTTTCGACAATCGAAAATGTAATGGCAAAGGAGGGCATTGCCTTGTTAAAAATGGTGCATTACAGTTCGGTTTCTACAATGGAAAATGTAATGGTGGAGACGTTGAGGCTATTGTAGGCGGTGTCATTCAGGCATGGTTCAAGAAGGACGCCACGATTGTCCCCGCTCTCCTACGCATGCAGTTCCATGATTGCTTTGTAAATGTAAGCAAACTTTTATTAAAAAATCCACGTGCATGCAAGAATTTCACAAAAGCTTTCTTCCTTGTGGTGTTAATTTTATTTTTTCACTTTTCAAGAGCGTAATAATAATTTTTAGTCGACATACAAAAAAAATAAAAATAAAAAACCACCATCAATAAGTCAGCTATATTTTATTCGATGAAACACCAATAAATCTCAAATACTGTTTGATTTTCTCTTTTTTCTTACTGATCCAAAGATTCCATTCTAGTGTGAATTATATAAATAGTCAAAATGTGGGTTTTCTCCTAATTAAATTACTACGCTCAACACTTCAAAAAAAAAAAAAAACTCCCTAATTTATTTTTTTCCAAACGTAGCATTCTAATATAACACTAAAAAAATGTAGCACTCTAATGTAACAGACTAAAATATTATTTAGCGTACGTTTTCTAAACGTAACACTCCAATTAATGTAGTACATAAAAACTTTTTACCAAAACGTAATACTTCAATGTAATACACTAAAAAATTTCTTAGTGCACTTTTCCTAAACCTAACACTCCAATCAATAAAACACTAAAAAACTCTTTAATATAGTTTTCTTAAACGTAACAATATAACATTTAAAAAAAATTTATTAGTCTATTTTTTCCAAACGTAACATTCCAATCAATGTAACACACAAAAATTTCTTAGTATATTTTTTTCTAAACATAACACTCTAATTTAACATCCTAAAAAATTTGATAGTGTCCTTTTCCCAAACGTAACAACGTAACATTCTAAAAAAAACTTTTTAGAGTATTTTTTTTTTCCAAACGTAACACTTCAATCAATGTAACACAAAAACTTCCTAATGTACTTTTTTGCGAACAAAGTACTCTAATCTAACACTCCAATGTTTTCCAAACGTAACATTCTAATATAACACTCAAAAAATGTAGCACTCTAATGTAACAGACTAAAATATTATTTAGTGTACGTTTTCTAAACGTAACACTCCAATTAATGTAGTACATAAAAACTTTTTACCAAAACGTAATACTTCAATGTAATACACTAAAAAATTTCTTAGTGCACTTTTCCTAAACCTAACACTCCAATCAATAAAACACTAAAAAACTCTTTAATATAGTTTTCTTAAACGTAACAATATAACATTTAAAAAAAATTTATTAGTCTATTTTTTCCAAACGTAACATTCCAATCAATATAACACACAAATTTCTTAGTATATTTTTTTCTAAACATAACGCTCTAATTTAACATCCTAAAAAATTTGATAGTGTACTTTTTCCGAACATAACAACATAACATTCTAAAAAAAACTTTAGTGTATTTTTTTTTCCAAACGTAACACTTCAATCAATGTAACACAAAAACTTCCTAATGTACTTTTTTGTGAACGAAGTACTTTAATGTAACACTCCAATATAATACTAGAAAATCACACTACAAAAATGTAGATTTTCATACTCAACAACTAACACTTTATCCAACAATTCGGTAAAAAGAGTCTTGCACACCTCATATTTCATTCTCATCCCAAAAATATGTTAGAAAATTAAAAAAATGAATCATAAAAAGACATTCACTTAAAGTCAAATGACAATCACTTAAAAAAAGTTCATTAAAAAAAAAAAAAAAGACAACAAAAAATTCACGAAGAAAGTCAATCAGAGACACCCACTTAGTAGATGTTCAATTATTATTATTATTATTATTATTATTTACTTTTTACTTTTTGGCACTGACAAATAATTTTTCTTTTTTCATGAAAAGGGATGTGATGCATCCATCCTACTAGATGGGAACAACAGTGAGAAAACTGCACCTCCAAATTTAAGTGTGAGGGGTTATGAAATTATCGATGCAGCGAAAGCCGCCCTGGAAGCAAAGTGCCCGGGAGTAGTTTCTTGTGCTGATACAATTGTTATTGCCGCTAGAGATGCAGTGTCTTTGGTGAGTAATGTGTCCATTCTCCCTCTCTTTACTATATGGAGTTACACTATATATCTTAAGTTGATCACATAACAACATTTAAGTTGTTGTGTACATGCAGGGTGGAGGAGGGAGATACGCTGTGCAAACAGGGCGAAGAGATGGTCTTGTATCTCTTGCTCAAAATGTAGATCTCCCAGCTCCTTCTATATCTGTGTCTGATTCCATCAATGCATTTGCCAAGAAAGGACTTGGTGTCGTGGATATGGTTTATCTTCTTGGTACTTCACTTTTGCCGCCTCTATTTCTCATCCAATAATGCTAAATAATAACATTTCATAAAAAAATGCTCAAAATACAGTGCTGCCAGCAATGCATTTTGAATTATATTATTAGTTTTTGCATTTATATATATATTTTTTCTTTCTCATCTAAAGTTGTTTCTTAGTCACTTAAGCACGATAAATCAATGATTTTTATAGGTGGTCACACAGTTGGAGTTGCACATTGTTCACTCTTCAAAGATCGTCTCTATGATTTTCAGAACAATGGAATGCCTGACCGGACCATGGATCCTATGTTGTTAAACATATTGAGATCTCGGTGTCCTCAGAATGCAACAACTGATAGCACTGTTAATTTGGATCAGAACCCTAAAAGTGCCTTGGTTGTGGATAATTCCTTTTATCAACAAATACTACTGCAAAGAGGTATCCTTCAAATTGATCAAGAGCTGGCTTTGGATCCACAAACCAAGGGATCAGTGATATATGCTGCCCGTGGCTTGGATTTTCAAACCAAATTTGCTCAGGCCATGGTTAAGTTGGGTGCAGTCCAAGTTCTTACTGGCACACAAGGGGAGATAAGGACTTCATGCCGAGTTGTCAATAACCATTAAAAATAAAAGGCTGGTTATGGAGAAGATAACTATAATTCTCGATTTCTATTCGTTTATTTTCTCATTCTTAGTTAAGTATATGGAAACAGTCCCTCCAAAAATGAGATAAGATTGCATACGTCTTGTCTTTTTCGTATCTCATTTCAATAAGAGTCTCACTAACTGTTGTTCTTATTTAAGGAGGGTTCCACAATTGAAGTCAAAATTCTTTTCATCCAAACTACTTGGGGTTTAGTCAAGACATAGTTATGGTGTGTA